GGTCTCACCAAGTTGCCCAGGCTGGTCTCGAACCCACGGGCTCAGGCAGTCCACTCGCCTTGGCCTCCCAAAGTGCTGGGATTATAGGCGTGAGCCACCGCACCCGGTCGATTTAAGGTTTTTATATCCATATAACTTTGTATGTTACTTGTAAGATATTTTAATTATCACTCTAATTAAGTCAATAATTATTTGCCAGGCACGGTGGCACATGCCTGTGACTCCAGCTACTTGGAAGGCTGAGGCAGCAGGATCGCCTGAGCCCAGCAGTTCAAGGCTGCGGCGGCTGTGATCGTGCCACTGCACTCCAGCCTGGGTGACAGAGTGAGACTCCAATTCTAAAAAAAGAAAAAAAAAAATTCAGTACTCTCATACAATTTTGAACACACATTAATAAAGCATTTAGGCCGGGTGTGGTGGCTCAAGCCTGTAAACCCAGCACTGTGGGAGACTGAGGCAAGAGGATTGCCCGAGTCCAGGGGTTCGAGACCAGCCTGGGCAACTTGGCAAGACCTCGTTTCTACAATAAATTTTTTAAAAAATTAGGCCAGGTGCAGTGGCTCAAGCCTGTAATCCCAGCACTTTGGGAGGCTGAGGTGAGGGGACTGCCCAAGCCCACAGGTTCAAGAACAGCCCGGGCAACTTGGTGAGACTTCACCTCTATAATAATAATAAAATACACACACATATAATCTAAAAAACAAAAACAAAAAAAAAACCCCTTTACTCTTTGATAGAAAGGAGACTTAGTTTCCAAAAACAATCATAAAACCTAATAAAGACACCATAAGGCAAACTGAATCTGTCCCTCTCGCCTCTCTTTTTTTGTAGTTTACACAAAATGTAAACACAAATCTTTTATTTTATATACACACACACACACACACACATTTTTTTTTGAGTCAGAATCTCACTCTGTCAACCAGGTTGGAGTGCAGTGGCACACTCACTGCCACTGCAACCTTGACCTGCCGGTCTCAGTTGATCCTTCTGCTTCAGCCTTCCAAGTAGCTGGAACTACAGGCACATGCTACCATGCCCAGCTAGTTTTTTGATTTATTGTAGAGATAAGGTCTTGCGAAGTTGCCCAGGCTGGTCTTGAACCCATGGGCTCAGGCAGTCCTCTCACCTCAGCTTCTCAAAGTGCTGGAATTACAGGCTTGAGCCACCTAGCCGATCCAAATCTTTTATTATCTCTTATTAATATAAAATTAAAATCTTAGTCAAAAGACAAAACCAAATTCTACCTTTATGTTGGTGGATTATTATTATTTGTTTTTGAGTTGGAGTCTCAATCTGTTCCCAGTCTGGAGTGCAACGGCACACTCAGTCACCGCAGCCTCGACCTGCAGTGATCAGGTGATCCTTCTGCCTCAGCCTTCCAAGTAGCTACAGCTATAGGCATGCACTACCATGCCCAGCTAATTTTTTGATGAGGTCTCACCAAGTTGCCCAGGCTGGTCTCAAATCCGTGGGCTCAGGCAATCCTCTCACCTCAGCCTCCCAAAATGCCGGGATTATAGGTGCGAGCCACTGCGCCTGCCCTGCCTAAGATTTTTAACATACCAAATAAGCCTAATGTGTCTCTCTTAGGCTTTCAGGGGCTCTAATATCCAAAAAGTTACTTTGTGATCAAAAAGACTGAATTTAGAGTTTGAAATTTTGGTTTTGGAAAGTTTGTCCAAGGTTTAAAACACTCAAACTGGGCACAGTGACTCATGCCTGTAATCTCAGCACTTTGGGAGACAGAGGCAAGAGGATTGCCTGAGTCCAGGGGTTCAAGACCAACCGGGGCAATTTGGCAAGCCCTGTCTCTACAATAAATTTTTAAAAATTAGCTTTTGTGGTAGTGCGTGCCCTCGTAGTACCAGCTACGGAAGGCTGAGGTGGAGGGATCACATGAGCCCAGCAGGTCGAGGCTGCAGTGGCTGTGAGTGTGTCACTGCATTCCAGCCTGGGTGACAGAGTGAGACTCCATCTCAAAAAAAAAAAAAAAAACCCAACAAAAACAAAACCTTTTATTCTTTGATAGAAAGGAGACAGCAGGGCTCGGTGGCTCAGCCTGTAATCCTGCGCCTTTGGGAGGCTGAGGTGAGTGGATTGCCTGAGCCCGCGGGTTCGGGACCCTCCTGGGCAATTTGGTGAGACTTCATCTCTACAATAAATCAAAAATTAGCCGGGCGTGGTAGCACGCGCCTGTAGTTCCAGCTACTTGGAAGGCTGAGGCGGAAGGATTGCCGGGGCCCAGCAGGTTGAGGCTGCGGTGGCCGGCAGCGGCCACTGCACTCCAGTCTGGGCGACAAAGTGAGCCTCCAACTCAAAAAAAAAAAAAAAAAGAAAGGAGACTTAGTTGACCGGGCTCAGTGGCTCAGCCTGTAATCCCAACCAGCACTTTGAGAGGCCAAAGTGAGTGGATTGCCTGAGCCCGTGGTTTGAGACCAGCCCGGGCAACTTGGCGAGACCTCCTCTCTACAATAAATCAAAAAAATTAGCCGAGCATGATAGCAGGTGCCTATAGTTCCGGCTACTTGGAAGGCTGAGGCAGAAGGATCGCCGGAGGCCAGTAGGTCGACGCTTGGGTGGCCGTGAGTATACCACTGCACTCCAGCTTGGGCGACAGGGTGAGACTCCAACTCAAAAAAAAAAAAAAAAAAAAAAAAGGAGACTTAGTTTCCAAAAAAAATCAAAACCTAATAAAGACACCATAAGGCAAGCCTAAGCCCAGCAGGTCGAGGCTGCGGTGGCCGTGAGCGTGCCATTGCACTCCAGGCTGGGCAACAAAGAGTGAGACTCCAATTAAAAAAAAAAATGCTTCAAAACATATATCACAATTAAAATGTTCCAGTTTGTTAATATAAAACCCCATGCACAGTACTTGCAGCCAAAACCACAAACTTGTGCTATTGTTATAAAAAGTACAAAACCTTACAGCATGAAAAGCCCCTTTCCCCAAAGCCATCGTGAGCCTTATATAAAGCTGAGAACAACTGCGATCGGGGACCAGCCTTTGCAACTGGAGTCCTCTGGGTCAAATGCCGGCGTTCCATTAATAAACGCAGCTTCCTGCTTATCAGCCTTGGTGTCATGGTCTCTCTGATTTGTTTTCCCGCAACAGAACAGGCACACGCCATCATGCCCAGCTAATTTTTTTTTTCTGATTTATTGTAGAGACAAGGTCTCGCTAAGTTACCCAACCTGATCTCGAACCTGTGGGCTCAGGCAATCCTCTAACCTTGGCCTCCCAAAGCGCTGGGATTATAGGCATGAGCCACCACAACTGGCCCTATGTGGTGGATTATTAATGCTAAAGCTAATTTTAATAAAATCTTGTAAATAAATTTATCCAATTTCTATCAGCTTAGACTACCCAAGATAAGCTTTACATAAACCATTTATAACCTCTTCCACTTTTCTATTAAGGAGTAGACCAATGCTCCCCATGAATACCTGTTTTTCTGACACCAGGGTCCAGACTCTGGTCCTGCCCCAGTGTGCTTTTGTTATTAATGTTCAAGTTTTAGAAAAACTAAATAAATCCCTTTTAATTTTAGCCAACTTGTTCACACACAGAATTCCTTTCACAAGACAAGTCTTCCACAAACCATCTACAACTTGCTCAAATATTTGGTTTTGTCTTATAATTTTACTTTAGGACAAAAATGCCCTTTCCTTTCTCCCTCATCATTTTGACCACACAAAATTCTCTCATGTAAAAGAAAAATTACTCTCTCTTTTGAAATTTTTTTGTTTGTTTCTTACTTTATACACTCTCTAGATGTATTTCTTTTATAACTAGCAGTTTTAACTAGTTATATTAATTACAGTTTTGGTGGGCTCGGTGGCTCAGTCTGTAATCCCAGTCCTTTGGGAGGCTGAGGCGAGGGTATTGCCTGAGCCTGCAGGTTCGAGTCTTGCCTGGGCAACTTAGCGAGACCTCATCTCTACAATAAATCAAAAAATTAGCTGGGCGTGGTAGCGCAC